AGCAGCCGCTGAACTTTGCGAGACCTTTCACTTCCCGGCCGCCGCCGCCGCCGCCACCGCCTCCTGGGCGTCCTCCTCGGCTTTTACCACCTCCTGCTGCTGCGTCTCGGTCCCGTCCTTCTCCATGGGCAGTTCCATGGGATGCATTTTTATTGCACCGACACGGCGGCGCTCCGGTGCCAGCCCTCCTCCCCTCGCACCTCCACCCCTTCCTCCTGCCCGCCCCCAGCACTCTCTTGACAGCCCTGGCGCTGTAGCCCGCGCGTTCGGGTCGCCGCCGCCGCCCAGGGAGAGGGATCCTCTCGCCGGATCCGTGGCCCCCGCTGCCTGGCTGCCAGCGCGACCAGTCCGCCTCAGCCCGCGAGCGCGCCCGTCACCTCGGCCCAAGGCTTCCCTCTTGCCCCTCCCGGCTCTTGCCCTCCATCTCCCTGCGTGACCCCCCTGGAGCCCTCCAGCACCCACAGGCCTCCTCTGGGAAGCAGTCTCCCACCTTCTCCCGGAACATTCCAGAGAGCAGTCGACTCCCTCTCGATCAGGTCAGGGCCTGCCAAGGGGCTTAAAAAACCGCGAAACAGGCTAACGCCTACTTCTCAGCAAAAGAAAGCCCTCCTTCTTCCCCCTCCACCCCTTCACCAGGCGTCTCAAGATGCAGGGGTACCCCCCCAAATAATAAAAGCAGCATAAACTTGAAGGAAAAAGAAGACCCAGGGGTGGAACCCCTTAGCCAGCCCGGGGTCACGGGCAAGGGAGAGCGCGCTACCTGCTAGGTGGCATTCGCCAGTTCTCTGCGGACTTTTCGGGGTGGGGGAGGGCATCCTGGCTAAACAATCAATGCTTACATTCTCCGGGGTGTATCCATTTTGATGTCAAAGGTGTTCTCTAATTAAAACTCAAGGTGCTAAAAGAAAAGGGTCACAGGATTAGCTAGTGTGCAGTTTAAGAACATCTTTGTCTTGGGGCAAGGGCACGACAAAGAGAACCTCTTTGGTCCTTCCAAGCACTCTCATTCCATACGGAGTGTGTTGTGCTGGGAAACAATTAAGTTGTGAAATAACTTGTGGGGAACAATTCAGTAGCAAGGCAGGCAGCTAATTGTGGACAGGATTGCTCAGGGCTGCTACTTATGGAAGACGATTACGTAGCATTTGAGTCTGGGACTTTTGAAAGGTCTATGAAAATACAATCCTACGTACACAGCCAGAGAAACTGGCGAAAGTTAACTAGAAAGAAATGTTTATTGCAGTGTTCATTTTGTGCCTTTAAGTATTTTTTCCAGAAAATTAAATACTTTACAGATACTGTTGTGTTGTGTTACTGATGACAACAATTCAGAGCTTTGGGGCACATGTAGGCATTATTTATGACTCATCTGTGGATATATAAAAAGTTTGTATCTTCTAGGAGGGACTGGGATGAGGTCAGCATCATCCATTTGGGAGACACTAAAATTATTCTGGCCACTTCTGGGAAGTGACAAAAGGTATAAGGAAGCAATTTATGTAACACTTAGGAAACTGTACCTTTTGAATTTTCAAATATTGGCAATGTTAGGGCTTTCTTCATATCTTATAGATATGCTCCCTATGGAGTCAATCAAACATCTCTCCAAATTACTCTTCTTACCATATAAATGGAAATTATAACAACCAAGGTCTCTTAGTACCAATATTAACCTAGCATTTTAGCACCAATGACCGAAGCAAATTTTAAAAAAGAAATAAAATGTATATTTATTATTGACTTCTGAGCCTACTGTATTGAGGCAGAACTACTCCATTTCTCATTACAAATTTCAAAGACATTTAGTGTCTGTACCAATCCTGCCTTGATAGTATACTTCCTTGATTGCTCTGTAACTGGTTCCTGTTTCCTTTAACAAGACAGTAAGTTCCTTAATGATCAAGCAGTTTTTTATAGTCTATACAAAACATTATTATTGTTTTCTTTTATTCTTAACTGAGAACACCTGCTAGATATATAGTAAATTTTCATTAAATGTTTGTTTCTTTCTGAGTTATATTATAACTATTCCTGCATACTAAGAACAAGGATTAAGAAGAAACAGAGAAATCAGAATGGTCCCCCATATTCTAAAGGAATGTGCACACTTACACTAATATTTTATATATGAAGCAGCTCAGGAGAGAAAAAGTGGTTAGCATTATAATAAATTTCATTTGGTTCTATAGTCTAATTTACTTATAAATTCTATTTTCATTTGAAGAAGCTCTTCAGGAAAAGTTTACCTACCTAAGGGAAATCTTGCTCAGTGATAAGCATATAATGCCTATGATTAAACATTTTTGAAAATTTCAGTAA